TGTCCAAGTGCACCGCTCCCTGATATTTCTATAAGGGATTGGCAGCAAATTTGATCAAAAACCCACACCAAAACCATAGCCATCTGTGTCTACATTAGGCTACGGTTTTGGCGACAGATCTTGCTGTCGGGCAATTGGTGCCAAATTTGTAGCAAAAATCGCGCAAAGCCTGCAGCGCAACAAGGTCTTCGCGGTTTCTGCCGTCAATCTGCCGTCAAATCGCTACAAGCTCTGCGCGGTTTTTGCTGCAAATCTGCAGCAATTATCCGACAACAAGCTCTGCCAGATATCTGGCGGCAATTTGGCAGCAAGATTTGATATAACAGATCCTGCATCAAATTTGTATTCTATTTGCCATCAAAAGTTGATAGCAAGCTCTGCTCGAAATCTTCGCGCAGGTTTGGCTATCTGGGTATAACAGAAGCAAAATTACGGCCTTCCAGCGCAGAGAGTCGAACTAAAATATTTTCTTAGTTTTCTAATATTTTATGAATATCTATTTTTGTTTCAGCGAAGTATCTGTTTATAAAATTGTTTGATTTTGCTATCAGTATTTTTAATTGTATAATACTTTCACCTAAAAAAAGTCAAATAAACTAGATATACTTTGAAAATAAAAAGCAAAGAATAAAATACTAGAAATTGAAATCATTTGTATAGATTTATTCTTTCGTGTTCCTTCAATTTCTGTATATAATAAATTTGTTATTAATTATCATTATGTGATTTTTCATAAGAAACATTTCTTTTCGGTGAATGATCATGCCAATATACATAACTATTTCCGCAAGTGGATGAACTTTGCATATTTATGGAAGAAGTGTGTGAATATGTATCTGGTATACGATACGGTGAATGCCGTTGGTCTTCAGGGGAGCAATTAGATGTATTCGTGAAAAAAAGTTTAGAAACTATATTGGATAATTGATTTTGTCCACTTTGCTGAGTAAACTTTAGCGGAGGCTGAGACAATGAACCATGGGCAGACTGATTTTTATTACCTTCGTACTTTTTTATTGTTTCATGGCATTGAGGTTTTGAAGAAGATTGATGACTTCTTAGTGATGAAAAATGTGTAGACACAGTGATGTTAGATTTATTATTAACCTGTTTTAGAGGCGAAGGAAATTTTTCCATTTCTGTATTATAGTCGCAATTTTCGTCACTAGAAGAAGTAATTCCTTTTTGGATTCTTTTTCTCTTCTTTCTCCTAGTTATTTCATCGATATCTGTATTAATGTCAGTGAAGATTTCGGATTCTTTTAATTTTGCGAGTCCTTTCTGAAACGTATCTGAAATAACATATTTAAAAATGAGTAATAATCAATACGAATAGAATGTATATATGAAGGTAGTGAAATAGTCTGAAAACAATATATAATAAATTCAATAGGATTCACCAGTTTCTGCTAGAACTGATATGATATTGTATTTTTCCCATTGCAAATTATACGGCTCTTTATTTTCAACTAATTTATAGTATTTAGACTGATTGTGTAATTTTGGCCCATAACAAGTATCATTATTTTGTAACCAAAGTTTGGGTACTAATTGGACACCGTCGACAAATTCAACAATTGCAAACTCCGTCATGATTATAATCTGAAACACATTAAAAATATTAATTTTTAAGGACCAAATGCAGCAAAACAATTTATGTTTCAATTTATGTTAATTTCATACAATTTATGTTTCAATTTATGTTAATTTCATATAAATCTAAATTAATTATTATTTCATAATTTGACTTATTAATTTTTTACTAATATTGTTTAAAATACTAATTCTTACATTTGTTACATTAAAATACTTATAGAATAATTACAGCCAAATAAAAATTATCTAACCTTATGAAACATCAGAATTCAACAAACACGTAACCAGACACTTTGTAGGATAATCTAACCCAATAAAAAATCAAATATCTAGCCAACTAGATATGATAATTCTAGCTATGATAATAGAAATATCTTGCATTTCTAATAGGAAATTTAACATATTTTTTGCATACTGATGATAACGGCCACTATTTTATTTCTTTAAACAAATTAGATACTACGTAAATTCCAACAATGGCTGAAGGGCAAGGTTCCAAATAAAAATTTGTTATTGTGTTATATTTTTTTCCGATAATAAAATACTCTTCCTTAATGGCAGAGAAAGTGATAAATTCAACTTCTATAATAGAATTATCAAGTAACCCACAGCATCTATCTTTCTCCGAAGTATTTAAAATAATATTGCCGCAAGTCGCAGAAAGATAATATGGCCCGGAACAATTCAGTATCACGGGATGTGCTTTAAGTTCACTATGCATAAGAGGTTCAAAAAAGTTGTGGCGGTTTATGGTTTTCATTGCTTTTTGTGAAAATGTTTCAATTTCAACATACCGTCGGTGTAATTGTCCAATTACATTATCAAATTTTCTAAACATATATTTTATTTTCATAAGGAAGTTTTCATATTTAAATGTGCTAAAATTGTCAGCAGTTCCAAATTTTTGGCATTCTTGTACCAAATTGAGAAGGCGGTGCGCATTGTGTGATACAAATTCAGGTCCATAAATTTTTATGGCAGTACTAACAAAATGTAATAACAGTTCGTGTGTATGCCCCATATAGTAACAATAGCTTCTCATTACACAAAATTCGCATTGAAATGTGAAGTGTTAAAAAGTTTAAGTATACACTACGTTTCAATAAACCATGGAAGACCATATGTCCTGAATAAAGTAATATTTGCCGGAATTCTGTGGCTTTCCAACTAGCCAAGAATTCTAAACTTCTGGGCTTCCTAACAAATTCGACAGGAATGTGCTTCTTTAAATTTTCTAAGCGTTGAGAGATACTCGAAGATGTTTGATAACCTATTCTATTCTTTAAATCTCCACTAAACAAAGTTTTTATTAACTTTTTCATCACCTTTAAACACACTATATGCATATAATCAAGAACTACATCATTGATTAAATCAAAGCCAGATATTTCAGTAAAAATACTTAATTTTGAATTATTGTCATCATTATCACACAATTCCCTCATCTCTAAATCAGTTTTCTTACGATATGGTTTTGTATCTGGGAAACATATCTTGTTCTTTAAATATTTTCCTTTGATATGACATTTTGGACAGCTCAAATAGCCACTATAACCTTTTATATTTAATATAAATGATTTTGCCAGACTGTCACATACTAACATTATTATTTCAATTTTATATAATTTACCATTAAATTGAAAACCATTTTTATAATGTTTTTTGTTTCATTAATAAAGTCTTCTAAAAAATCATTAGAACAATCTGGTTTTTTATCTCCTGCATATAAACTGATAATAAATATATATTTGGTTCCCACAGGAGATCCCAAAATTGTCCAAACACATTTGGAGCTAAATTTGGAAATGGGAAGACCATCGATATTTATTCCTATTCTTATAGATACACGATATAATCTTGCGTATGAGAAAGTAAAAAAATTTTTAACCCATTTTCTAAACCAAAGTGGGGATATTTACCAGGAGTCACAACTCTTTTCAATGTTTATTGAGGAGTCTGCAATAATGTTCGAGGATGTTGAGGAAGATCTTGTAGTTCAGACAATGAATTCACTGTTCTTAATAAGTTCATTAAATCATGTAGATGATTATGAGGCGAATTAGCGTCAACAGCCCATTCTGCTAGCTTCTCCTTAAAACATTTTACCAATTATTTTGACCTTCCTTACTTTTATATTCTATCTTTAACAAATTATATATTTCCTTTGTATTACTATCGCTGTCACTGTCATCTGAAGTACCTTTTTCATTATTGTTAACAGTATCATCTTGATCTGCAGGTTTATCTGCTTCCACGTTAAAAGTCAATAAGTTGCTGTCATCTTCATTATTAATTAATATCGTATCATAGTCAGTCTTGTCTACTATATTATAGCTTATGTTCACCGTGTAAATCTAAAGCACTACTTCTTTGAATTTCTGACTGAATAATTCATCAGATATTTCTCTTTGACATAAACTTTAAGTCTTTTCTTCTTTTTAATTGAGACATTGTAATTCTGAACAATTTATTTTCAATAAAACGTATTATACTTTTTACATAAATATAATGGATATATTACCAAACTTTGTTACAATCCTTTTAGCCTCCCTAATATTATATTACAAGCGTGGTATATATTTCAATGTAAAAAAATTATTAACAAAGATGATAATATTAAATTATATTGAAATATTTACCTCTAATTTCAAAAAACTACAATATACAGTGTCACTACCATACATAACCTCTTGCTTATACATTGGTGAACTCGCAAAATATGTACTACTCCGTCACTCTGCCTCTAGATGGTGTGCGTGTTTCTTACAGCACTCAGGTAACAGAGGGTGCGTTCCGTTTCCACGCATGATGCGCAGCGTTAGAGTGACAGAGATACGAAAGTAAGATAAAATGAGAGGGAGAGCACTCAGGTAAGGTTCTCGAACCTAGGTTAGGTTAGTTCTCGAACGCATGGACTGTTTCAGTTCAGAGGTAGTGCAGTCCATGCGCTCTCATGCGTTCGAGAACTAACCTAACCTAGGTTCGAGAACCTTACCTGAGTGCTCTCCCTCTCATTTTATCTTACTTTCGTATCTCTGTCACTCTAACGCTGCGCATCATGCGTGGAAACGGAATGCACTCAGAGATATCCTGGTGAAATTTTAAATATCTGAGAGACATCTGTATGTGATATCTCATACAGATATCTTTTGAAAGTTTCTGAAATATTTGTGACTTAAACAGGATATCCTTGTTACATTATGTGCTATATGGGTAAGTCATGAGTCAAAATGATTCCTAGAGATCATTTGAAAGTCAAATAAGTTAACACTACCGAATATTTGGTAAGGAATGGTTATCTTATTTGAGAAATAACTCGAATAAAAGTTGTATAGTTTAAAAAGTATCACCTAATGATGATCTTGCTCTTGATCCATAGATCAAATTTAAGTCATTTCAAGGTCAACTTGATTTTTTCAACATTACGGAGTTGGACCTTTAGGGGTTATTTGGGATAAAATTCTCTTTTATCTCAAGATCCTTGAAAATTTGCGTCAAAAACTTTTCGAATAAACTTATTCTCTCGTAATTTTCCAGGATCTTGAGATAAGAGTATTTGACCACAAATGACCCCTAAAGGATCAACTTGACTCTATAAGATAACTTGAAAAAATCAAGTTGATCTTAAAATGACCTCTAAATTTAACATGTGGATCAAAGTCAAAGTCATCATTAGGTGGTACTTTTTTACTCCTAAAATTTTTATTCAAGTTATTTTTTAAGTAACTATTTCTTAATAAGTATTCTATATTTGTAACTTATTTGACTTTCAAATGGGTCTAGGGGTTATTTTGATCCATGACTTGACCATGTATCTGAACGTAAAATTGCACTCTCCCCAGATAGAAAAATGTGTTGATTCTGAGCTCATATTGTATTCATGTATCTTCAAGCATAAGGACAAGAACAGACACCGATGCGGGCTCATATACGCTTCAGAATGTAGACATGTTATGATGTCATAAAAATATCTTATTTAATAATAATAATCAACATTATGTCAAGAATTTGCAACATAATTTGTACATCATTTGTGTGCATCTGGTGCTCATGTCATGAGATAATGATCTTTAAAAAAGTATCAAATTGAAGTCATAGTATGAAGTCACATTGTGATGAAACATGATCATTACGCATTTCTATCTGGGTCTTTATTTCCGGCGTCAAAAATAGCGGTTCTCATTTATAAAAAATTAAATTGACTTTGAAAGAACCTTTAAATTTGACCTCTTGTTCAAGACTAAGGTCATTATCAAATTCCTTACTTGAATTACTACAATTTTTGTTTAAAAAATTTTTTTAGAGACCTTGAACCTGTAAAGTTATTCAAGGAAAAATCCAGTATTATTATTTTACATCCTGTATAATATAAATTTTAAAAAATACCCTATGAGACAGATTATTGACTGAACGTCTAATCCGCTTAGCAGAGAAATAAATTCTGTATCAAATATAGAAAAATTGTTTTATAAATGACTATACATATATTCTGTATACGCAAAATAACGACAAAAATAAAAGTTATATTCATAATTGTTATTCAAAACATATAACTACATTATCCTTATCTGAATTGATTAGACTTTCAGTCGATATTCTATATCATAAGGTTCGGGCATCGATAGTACTGTGACGATGCACACTTGCATCGTCACTAATACCGGCCCGACCGACCACCAGTCGGGCCGTGCACCGGCGCGTTGCGCCAACTTAAACGCCGCAAGGCCTGATCAAAACACCGCGTAAACAAAGCGAGCGAATAACACGCGATAACACGACAGCGATTACACAAAAGAAGCGATTAAGAGCGCGCGCCGCGGACACGCGACAATCACGTGCACAGCGAGCGAAGACAAAGCGGCGTCGAGTATATAATCCGCGGCGCCGAATTAATCGAGACCAGACCGATCCGGACCGTCAACCGAACTGGATGCTATACAGCGGAGAGCAAGGCCTACGACCGACTCGTCTCTGTCTCCTCAGCCTACTGAGTGTCACATCCTCGCAAGCAAGGACCGAAGCCAGTTCGTTAGCTGCGCTCTGTCGATCTTTATCGACTCTTGCCTGCATCCCGTCGACTCCACGAACAAGGACCGAAGCCAGTACGTTAGCTGCGCTCTGTCGAGCTTTCTCGATCCGGGAGCGGTGCACTTGGACTCGGTGCATTTGGACACAGCCAATCACAGCACCGTGTGATTAGAGACATTTGTAGGGTCCCTTGGAACAGCGACTTGTGATTGGACTGTGTCCAATTGCCCCGTGTCCAACTGATATACACCCTCTCGATCCTTGTTCCCAACCTCTCGACGAGCGAGATCGAGGGTGAATACGTAGATAGCGAGACTGTTCACTCCCGATCTCGTCACCTGCGAAGCAGGCGTCCACCAAGAACGCGAAAACAGCGTGCCGTGCTGTGACACGGATTCGATACCGTCGACACCGCGCGGTCTCCGCGATCGACCACGCGAACCGCGCACGAATCGCAACCGCCGAATCGCGACACGCGACCGCCTGCCGAATACCCGAGGCGAGCCTAGCCTTCGCGCTATACGCTCCGCCCCCCGTCTTACCGAACCCGACACACCGAAACCGTGAGCCGATAACTGGCGCCGTCGCACGGTATATCTCCGCACTCGGACGCGACTACTCTGTACGAAGAAAGAATAAACGTTTTTATTGTTTTTATTTCTTACACAACGCGTCTTGCATTATTTATTTAACGAACCCGGACTCCGGCGAGCGAATAATCCAGTGGCAAAACACTCAGCAACCGACCTGCGGAGTACGGTTGTTACAGTACTGTACGGAGCATTCGACAAGATTCCTTTGATATTTTAATTTGAAAGACCTAGAAAGAGAGAACTAAATGTGTGAGTACGGACTTCTTTTTTTACTCTCTACTCATTGATTGACTTTTGTCCAAAGAAAAGGGGCACAATACCGTATTCTTTAAAGTTAGGGTCATCCTTATCGTCGCTACATATAAATGTATATTATAAATTTTTTATGTAATATAAATATATAATTATATAAATATATAATTTTATATTTTAACTTTCCTTATTCTTATCTTTCCTTCTTCTTTAAGTATTATGAAAACATATTATTATGAAAAGCAAATTTAATTATAATAATAGAATCTAAATAGTCTCATGGCCTTGAGCCCCGTAAACCGTAATTGTACAAACTTCTATCTGTCTCTTTGTAGGTCTCTCAAACCGATTTAGGACCAATGCTCCAGTATTATATGTCGATAGGCTCAGGGCTGTTAATTAATTGTCCAGTTGAATAGGCGTTTCTTCTGAAATTTGCCTGAACTGAGTAATTAATAAGGAAGGTACTTGTTTCTTATATCCGCTAGGAGCGCTAATTAGTTTGAAGACATGTCAAATACACTATGCCCATTGTGTGACGTACGTTTACAAAGTTTACGAAACAACTGTAAAGATTAATATTTTAATTTCGACATGCCGGGTATGGCATACGGATGCAAAAATAATGGAGAACATCGATTTCTAAGAGATGAGAATATGACCATCACTAATTTTACTAAATGCTTCATTCACTATAACCCAGTAAGCAAATTGAGTGCAGATTGCGCGCAGATTGGCAGCAAATTTGATCAAAAACCCACACCAAAACCACAGCCATCTGTGTCTACATTAGGCTACGGTTTTGGTGACAGATCTTGCTGTCGGGTAATTGGTGTCAAATTTGTAGCAAAAACCGCGCAAAGCCTGCAATGCAGCAAGGTCTACGCGGTTTCTGCCGTCAATCTGCCGTCAAATTGCTACAAACTCTGCGCGGTTTTTGCTGCAAATATGCAGCAATTATCCGACAACAAGCTCTATCTGGCGGCAATTTGGCAGCAAGATTTGATATAACAGATTCTGCATCAAATTTGTTATCTATTTGCCATCAAAAGTTAATAGCAAGCTCTGCTCGAAATCTGTTCGCGCAGGTTTGGCTATCTGGATAAGTACTTTCGTTTATGCACAAACATACAAGTCATGTCCTTAACCTCGTTGCTGCCTTCTACTTTGTGCTTGTTAAATTGCCTTTCCCTTTAACAACCCTGTCAAAAGATAGAAAACTCTAGCCATTTTAATTATAATTCCCTCTTCAATATTATATTGATATAATTATATACAGACTGTACAAATAGTCCTGGACCCCTGAATTTCCTAAAAAAATTAACATTTTGGAAAGAAATATTTCAGACAAAAGTTGTAAGGTTTGAAAAGACCTATATACTGCTCTTATCAGTTTGACCTTAGGTGGCGCCCCCAAGGTCAGGACAAAGTCAACTTTACTTTTTTAAACGGGAACATTTATTTTTTATTACGGAATTTTATTCTACGTAAAGAAACAAACATTTGTTTGAAAAAATTTTTTCACAAGACCTCTATTTTCTAAGATATTTACGGAAATATCTATGTACAAAATTATTGGTTTCAATAATTTTTTACTCGAATTCTATCAACTTTAACGAAAAATAACAAGAGATAAAAATTATTTATTTTCTTCTCATGGAGCTCTGAGAATTTTTTCAGAATTTTGTATTAACTTTTTAGTAATTCAAGAAAATGCAAGAAAAATGCAATACTAAAGAGTTAGTATAACAGAATAAAATTCCGTAATAAAAAATAAATGTTTCTATTTAAAAAAGTAAAGATAACCTTGTTCTGACCTAGGGGATGCCACCCAAGGTCAAAATGTTAAAAGCAGTATATAGATCTTTTCAGACCTTACAACTTTTGTCTGAAATATTTCTTTCCAAAATGCTTATTTTTCGAAAAAATTCAGGGGTGTGGTACTTTTCGTACACCCTGTATATTATGTAAAAAATACTTTGTTCTATTCCCAGATAGCCAAACTTGCGCGAACAGATTTCGAGCAGAGCTTGCTATCAACTTTTGATGGCAAATAGATAACAAATTT